GCCCTGGCTGGTTTGGCTCAGTGGATAGAGCATCAGCCTGTGGGCTGAAGGGTCCCGGGTTCGATTCTGGTCAAGGGCACAAGCTCGGGTTAAGTGCTCAATCCCCAGTGCAGAAGGCAGCCAATCAATGATATTCATTCTCTCTCTCTCTCTCTCTCTCTCTCTCTCTCTCTCTCTCTCTCTCCTCCTTTCCCTTCCTCTCTGAAATAAAAATACTTAAAAAATATATATATATCTGCATTTTAACAGTTCAGTTTTCATCTGTGTTTGTAACATTTCAAGGAATTTCCTATTTGTCTCTGCAAACATAGCCCTTCAAATGTAATTATTTTAATGGCTCCTCTTCTGCTCTCCTCCAGCTCCTATTCTTTCCTGCCACTTGGGAAAGTGGCCATTCAGTAAGCTGCCCCTCACCTTAAAGGAGCATACCCATCTTCACAGAGAGGTCCAAGGCCTTCCCACCCAACTCAGAACCAGAGAGTCCTAGAAGTTCATGATGGAATCGGGAATTCCCTCTCTGCCCACAGCAGCTCCACGGAGGAGGGGAACTGCTCACTCTGCCCTTCATACGCCTGACCCCTCACAAACCACCACCAGCAACGGCTCGGTCTACCTTTAGGTCGGTGTCTCGGGCTCTCTGGTTCATTTCTCCGGCTGCGCTCTGATCCTCCATCCCGTTCTGATCGGCTGCTGTGCCTGCTTCTATCGCGCTCATCTGCCAAGAGTCACAGGCAGAGCTTAGAAAACATGTGTCCCATCCCAACTTCCACCCGTCTTCACCCTCAGGACAAGACAGGCCTTCTCACTCACTCACTCACTCACTCACAGGTACAACCTGCACTGCTCTACTACCATCCAAGGGCTCCTGACACTCACAACCCCCATTCTTTCAAGGGGGAAAATAGTTACTGGCTAGAAAGTTTCAAACTCACAGTAACAGTTACTTCCCTGTAAGAATTCAGAAAATTCACAGTTACAAGTGTATAGTGAGTAGCTGCTGAATAGTTACAAGTCTATTAGCTGTATAACTTAAACAATACTAAGCAAAGCCAGCACTGGACTGTGTCTAACTTTATTCCATAGCACTGTCCTTGCTCTATCAACTTTGGTTTCTCAGACTTACTACTCACTACCACCCAGTTTCATAATAAAAGGAAGACCACACATTCAAGCATAGCAGCTATGTTGCAAGTAACAGTTCTTAAACTGCCTGCTATTCCCAATCCCAACAGGGTCAAAACCAATCAGAATGACATTATGCAAATAGGGCTCCTTAATTTAATGGGCATTCTAAAAACTCCTGCAACAGGAAAGATGCTGGCATGTTCATTCAAATACTTAATGGGCTATGGTGCCATGCTGGGCAGTCTACCTCTGTCTCTCTTGCGGTCACCATCTCGATCCCGTGATCTCTCCTTCCGATCCTTTTCTTCTTTGGACGAGGCATAGACACCATGTTCCCGGCGCTCCCGCTCTCTCTGCCGACTACGTTCCCAAAACTCTTCGCTCACACCACCGGGATGGGACGGAGTCTCTACCCGAGCAGAGCGATAGTGTCTGAAACAGGGAGGGCAACACGTAAGGAGAAAAGCCTTGCCCACCTCTGGCCGTGCCCCACAAGTGACCTGTCCTTTTCCACGTTACCCCGTGGGACTGCAGGCTTCCACATGGCAACAACCCAAAGCACTTCTCACCACACCGTGTGCTCGCTGGTCTCCTTTAAATGTTCCCCACAAATCTGAAGAGCATTCCAGTTCCTGCCTGCCCTCCATATTTATTATAAAAATAAAATAAATCCAAGAAACTGAGAGATAAATGTGGGGCATTATTTTCTGGCCTCCATTGCCATGGAGGTCAACCCATCCTAAGGCCTTTACCTGTCTTTCCGGCTACCTCGACCAGACTGGTCACTGCCGTCCTCCTCACCATCCCTCTGGTCGTCCTTGCTCTCTTCCCAGTCCTTGTAGGAAGACACTTTGGATTTCTTCTTGTCCTCCCCATCGTCTTTCTCCTCTCGCTCCCTCCGTTTCAGGGAAGCCAACAAGTCCAGTCCCAGCAGGGAAGGGCGGGGAGCAGGGGCCTTAAAGACATGCTGCTCACTGGCTGCACTTTTGGTCTTGCAAATAAGACCGCCAACCTGAGAGTCGCCATCAGTGCCTTCCAACCTGTGGATGGAGGTGTCTTCACTGGTGTCCTCCATGATAGGCTCTGGGATTTCCCTGGAAGGAAACAAACCATTTGACAAAGGACATGAGAGGGGGAAAGGCTTAGATCTGCTGTATCCTAAGGTAACTGTAGTCATAGGTACATTTAAGACCAGGATTTCTTAAGTACCTCCTCCCATCAGGTCACTGACAATCTCAAAAGATCATCCTACTCCCACCTCCACACACATAATATACACACATTCACCCCAAATGCCAGGATCCAAGACAGCACCCTCAGGCCCCATGACGGCACACTTATTAGATCATGATGACATCCATAAAGGGAAGATCGGGATTTGAAGTCAAAAACTCAATTAGATATGAAGTCAGACACCTCAGTTGGAATCCAGGCTCCTGATTATTTTCTATCTCTATGAGTGTAAGCAAATAACTTAACCTTTGGTTAGGCATAATTTCTACATCTATAACAAGGAAATACTTTTTTGCTCTAATCCATGGACTTCTTGTGAAAATCAAACAAGAGAGAACATGGAAAAGCTCTCTGTAACTGTAAACAGTTACGTATATGTGATTGTTACATTCTATTCTTTGCTGGGCTATGCTGGGTCCCTTGCCATTTTTTTTACGAGTTCTTCTACCTCTCCCTCCCTTTCAACTCACAGAGACTGCAGAGACATTGGGGTACAAGGCTACCATCTATGTGGTCCATACTTTACTGGCTTTTTTGGGGACCAGTTGCATATAGAACTCAAACTCTGTTTAAAAATAATCTATGTCCACCAAAACCATTGATGAGAAGCACTACGTTAGCAAATGGGTGTTTCTGAAGAGTATTTATTTAGGTGGCTGTAAGATTTCCTGGTACTCCACTTGTAATTCCTCTTTACCTCCCATTATACACTATCACTTGTGAACATACACCAGTTCTGAGCGCCTGGCTTGGATAATTCCCCTCATTCCAACAAGTCAGTGAAGCAAAGGAAGTGTCAAGGAGCAGTGAACCACCAGAACCCAGAATAGTTTTCACAGTTCTAATGTGCACAGCCCTACAGGGACAGAGTCAAACAGACTAGACACATAATATGGACACAGAAACAAGAGCTACGTTTTGAAAAACATCATCAGGGCCCTGGCCAGTTTCCTCAGTGGTTAGAGCATTGGACAGCCAACTGAAGGGTCATGGATTTGATTCCTGATCAAGGGTCAAGGGCCAAGGGCACATATCTGGGTTGTAGGTTGTCTCACCACAGTCAGGGCATGTGCAGGAGAAAACCAATCGATATGTCTCACATCCATGTTTCTCTCTTTCTCTCTTCCTCCCTCCATCCTCCTACCTTCCATTCTCCCACCCTTCCACCCTTCCCTATTCTGAAAATCAATGGGAAAAAATATCCTCAGATGAGGATTAACAAAGAAAGAAAAGGAAGGGAGGGAGGGAGGAAGGGAAGAAAAAAGGAAGGAAAAAAGGAAAGAAGGAAAGAAAAATGTCATCAGGTAGAAGAAAGAAGGAAAAGCTGCATATTGATGACATCTGGATATACCCGTGAGAAAATCTAAACAAGAAGTGTTTAAACAGGCTCTGCTCAGAAGTAGACTAAACTAGAAAATATACGCCTAGAATGCCATTCTATGCAGGAGAAAGAACCTTGACTTGTCTGTCTTGCTGATGCTGTAATCAATGTCTAGCAAAATAAACGTGTGATGAATCAATGGATTAATGAATTTCAACTGGTTAAAGGAAAACAGGGAGTGAACCATTTGGAGAGACAGCAAGAGAAGATACCAGCAACACTAGACGAGGTGTCTGACAGCAAAACATAATTAGCTGCTGGGATGAATAAGGAGTTAAGGGGCTGGATACTGGAGGAGGATTAATGACAAAGCGGCTATATGGGGTATGAGGGGGTTAAAAAACAATGGAAAAAAGAAACTGGATTTACTCATTGAACAATTATTCATTCAGTACCTTCCCTGAGCCAACCGCTGTTGTGGGAAATAGGGACAGAGCAGAGAACACACCAGACAAAAATCCCCGCCCTCTTGGGGTTAACATTGTGGCAGAGATACAATGTGACAGAGAAGAGGAAGACACAAGGGCTCAGACGTCCGTCCGTGTGGGAGTGGACTAATGCGGAGGCCCAAGGAAGGGTGACCCCGGGAAGCATCCCTGGCCGCAGTGGCCGCCCCAGCTCTGAGCAGAACAATGAGAAAAGCCCGGCCAGACAGGAGGACCCGCGCGCATCCCTAGGGTAAGACAAGCTGAGTGACAGGGACCACGCTTTCCAAGCCCGGGCCCGACCTGAGCGAAGGACAGACTCCCGCCGCCTGGAGCCGCCATGATTGGCGGAGGGCAGGTCCGGAAGGAAGGGGGACACTCACCTCACCAAGCCCGACTCTCGGGAGGTTCTGTCCCTGACTCCTGGGCGCCGGCGCCACCACCCCTCGCTCAGATCGCCTTAGAGAACCAACACCAGCACCTTGAAAGCCGCCATTATTGTCCCATAATACCTTGTGTGGCCCCTTCTATCCGTCCAGAGAGACCATAGAGAGCGACCCGGAAAATGCCGGTTCCTGGCTCCAAGCCCGGGACATAACGCGACCAGGCCCTCCCGAGGAGAGTGCCCTCCTCCGGGACGCTGGGCGCAGACACTTCCGAGTCTCGCAGCGACCAACCACACCGGCCTGAGAGGCGAGGCCCCGCCTCTGGCCCAAGAGGGTGGGAGGGAACGCGAGAGAGGCCGGGCATGTTTAGTCAGGGCGGAAGTGACTACACGGCTTCCGGTCAGAGCCGATCCAGTGGGCGGGGACTAGGATAACCGGTTTATTGGGCTACGCTGGTTCATCTACTGCGCCTGCGCGTTCTCCTCTTCCGTTTCCGTCCCCCTGCAGTGGACCGCCCACGGTTGCTAAGCAACGGCCCCCGGTCGCGTTGCATTAGGGTCCCTGAAAGCTTCCGGCGGAAGAAAGAAGCCGCCCGCGTCCGGGATGACAGACCGGTCGCCGACAGTCCTCAGTTGGAGGGAGGAAGCTCGTACAGATAAAGTAAGTGTCGCCTCCCCTACCACCGACATCACTAAACGTTAATTGGTGACCCTTGAGCTACTCGGGTTGGAGCCCGCGGCGTGAACCTGTGTTTTTCAAGAGTGAACTGTGGCCGAAACCGGTTTGGCTCAGCGGTAGAGCGTCGGTCTGCAGACTGAAAGGTCCCAGGTTCGATTCTGGTCAGGGGCATGTACGTTGATTGCGGACACGTCCCTGATAGAGGGTGTGTAAGAGGCAGCTGGTCGATGTTTCTCTCGCATCGATGTTTCTAGCTCTCTAGCTCTCTTCCTTCCTCTCTGTGGAAAATCAATAAAATATTTTTTTTTTTTAAGTGAACTGTGTTTTCCACACCCGGTGGGGAATCCGGGTACTCGGGCATCGTCCCAGGGTCAGCTGTGTGGACTGTTTTGAAAGACGCGCACTCCTTTTAAATAAAACTCACCCGTCTGCTCACACGCAGCGGTAGCTACTGACGGTGTTTGGGGGTCTTTCTTCCCGGTTACTTCTGTTTGTAATTTTGTATTATAGTTCTAAGTTTTGCACCTAGACTGTAGAATGTGGTGTCACACTGTTTTGTAACTTCTTATCATGAGAACTTTACAGAATCTGAAATGTTCATCTCTAACACAGTACTTAGTGACTTTTAACAGTAAGTACATTGCAGAACTGTACTATCTTTTGTTTCACCAATCCCCTTTTAAATTGCCATTTAAACTAATTCCAGTGGTAGGTGTGGTGTGGTGTGGTGTGTGTGTGTGTGTGTTGGGGGGGGGGGTGTTTTTTTGTTTTGTTTTTTGTTTTTTTAGCTAATACCACTGTAAATGGGATGAACATTCTTTGTGTGTAAATCTTTGTGCACGTGTCTAATTATTTTCTAAGAGCTAATTCTCAGAACTGGAATTGTTGGTCAGAAAATATTTCAGCTTTCTTTCGAGAAGCGTTTTGCCTCTCTACGTTCCAGTGGAGACTGTGAATGCCTGCCCTTCATTCACACTCTTTTCATTTTTATTTAATCTTTACGTCTTTTAATTTGTTCACGATAGTATATTTATTGTCCATTTGTACTTTTTCTTTTGTGACTTCTCTTTTGGCATCCTTTGCTGTGGATATTTTCTTAGGTTTTGTCTCAGTGTCTCTCTCCTTCCAACATCTATCCAGTCTCCACCCACCCCCACCCTTTGACTGGTTTGCCCTCCCCTCACTTCCTCCTCTTTATCACTAACATACAGGAGTTGCTGTTTGTTTAAATTCTACCGGTGGGGCAGATTCAGCTTCTCTTTGACATTCCCTTTCATCAGTAATTTGTACTACAACTCACATCTGATGAAGCCCCTCCTGGCAATCAACTTCCCTACTTATAACAATTTCACTTCCTGTGTGAATTTTTATTAATTCATATCTTAAAATGTGGCTTGTCACACACACACACACACACACACGCACACACACAAGCACACAGGGAAAGAAATCCTCCTTTTCCATAGCATTAACCAACTTTGGAACTGAATTTAAAATATCAGGTATATCAATGGGTCTCATGGATAAATGCAGAAATAAAGCTCCTTGACCAAAGAGTTTCTTGATCATAAAATTAAGAACTTAGGATATGAAGTAGAAGGAACACTAGAGTACAGATTTGGTGGCCTGGCTTCCAGTCCTAATTTTTGTAGCTAGAAGTGTAACTACAAGCAAAGTAGTATGTAAAGTAAGGAGGTTGGGTTAGGCAGAGGGAAGCAGTAGCTGAATCCCCGAATTGCAGGCTGACCTACACAGCTGCCTTCTCCATTCAGCCACCTCCACCACACAGTCTGGTCACTGCTCCCTTCCATGGCCCCTCCAGGTGTAGGAGTAGGAACAGCACCCTGCTGTTACCCTGTTTCCCCGAAAATAAGACAGTGTCTTATATTAATTTTTGCTCCCAAAGATGCGCTAGGTCTTATTTTCAGGGGATGTCTTATTTTTCCATGAAGAAGAATACGGTACACATTTATTGTTAAATGAAAATAAAGGAAATTTAGTACCTGTATACAGTATGGTAGAACGGTAGTTGTCAACACAAACCAGACAAACTGTGAATCCTACAGCATCAAGAATTTACTCATTTATTCATTGGCAGTCATGTCATCTTCTGGAACATCATCGTAACAATCCAATTCCTGAATTTCCTGGTGAATTCCTTGTGACTCCATTTCTTTCAGAATCAGTGGACCAAATCTCTCATGTTTAGCCTATGGGGGGGGGGGGGGGGCCTGGGGGCCTTATATTTCACTCAGACAGAAACCTGTAAGTAGGTCTTATTTTCGGAGGATGTCTTATTTTCGGGAAAACACGGGTATGTGCCCAGCGCCAGTGGCTGCTCCCAGCCCCGGGCATCCTCGTCCAAAAGGGCTCACCCACACCGTTTCCGCTCCTCCCGCCGTCCTTCTCCTATTTTCTTTCTGTTTTTCTGTGTTTGATCTTTATTTCTTTGTTTGGATTGGGATGTCAATATCTCTACTTGTTTTTCTTTTCTTTCCCCCTCCCCCCCCCCCCCCTCCTTTAAATGGTCTGCCGAGCTCTGTAGAAGAGAGCAGCTGGGGTTTGGACACTGGCCCTTGCTTTTTTTTTTTTTTTTTTTTTTTAATTAAAAATTTTTAATATTGACATTATTGCAGCTGTTCCCCTTTTTCTCCCCTTTGCCCATCTCAACCGGTGCCCACCTTCTCCCTTGGCCTTCAGCAAACTATTGTCCCTGTTCATGAGGTATGCATGTATGTTCTTCCTTCTTTTTCCTTCTTCTTCAGCCAGTCATCCCCAGCCCCTCCCATCCTGGGCACCGCCCAGTTTCTTCCGTGCATCCTTGCTTCCAGTTCCATTTTTGTTCATTAGATTCTACATGTTAGTGAGATAATAGGATCTGTCTTTCTCTGACTGGCTTATTTTACTTAAAATAATACTCCTTATAGGTATGAAATTAAACTTGGTTTTCTCCCGCTAATTTATCTCATGCCAATTTCTTAGACCATTCAGAAGGACCTAGGAGACTAGAGGAGAAATATTTCCTCCTCATCAAAACCATTCTTTTGATGGCAGGGTTCTTGATAATATTCATGTTCTTAGCATCTCTTTCTTTGCCTTCAAATGAGTGATTTCTATGCCCAGCTCTAAGACAGCTCTTCTCCAAGATAAATTGGGTATGACAGTGAGATCACATTTTTACCTTATTGCACATTTGAATTTTCAATTTAGTACTATTGATAAAAACACCGCACAATAATCCTTTTTAAAAACCATAGTTTTAATGATAACATTTCTTTGCTGTTGGAAGAGGGACATATAGAATACTAATTATTACAAACTGTGACTCCTCTGTGTCGTCATTGTGTAAGAATCTTCACGTCAGATGTCTTGTCTGAGAGCAAGGCTATACCATTAGATCTGTCACCTGCCTTGTGGGACTTTTCATGCTAATCATACATGCCAGCTCTGATCTTAGTGTAACTTTGGGGTCGAGTTTTCCCACAGAGAAGCCTTTAAAACACTTCAATTTTATGTGGATCAACCTTATAATAACCTCATAAAACAGGTGCACAGTTCATCGCCATTTGATAGTCAGTCAAGGAATAAGCTTATGGTCACGATGCAATTAAGTCAAAGAGCCAGGATTGGATCCCGGCAGCCTGACCCAAACCCCATGTTACCAACTGACACCTACACACACGTTCAAACGACAGGAATGGGAAACTTCACAGCAATGAAAGCAACAGGCCCCAATTATCCTGAAAACAATAAACATCCCAGGATAAAACAGAGATAAACACAATGCCAATTTCCCTTTCCTGTGTGAAATGCTTACCTGCCTGCACATTTCTACAGTTCTGGATCCACTTAGGGCTCTGTAATTCATTATTTTAATACGTTTTTGAAAAAGTAAAAACGTATATTTCATGTTTTCCCCATGAGCATTTTTCTAAGAGCTGAGGATGCCGACCACCGCAGGGCACTAGATATTTACAACTCTCCATGACAGCTGTCAAGAAAGGAATGAACATGCCGAGAAGACGTGGAGAGAAGTATCTCCTCGCCCATTAGAAGGGACAGCTCGCCCTGAGCCCCCACGGACATGACATACCTGTGAAACACGAAACCAAGCTCCCCATCCCGAGGTCTGTCAGCACACAACCAGCAATGTCTCCTGCTAAAAACACTCGGCCCAGAGAGTGGCCGTCAGGACCGGGCGCCAGCTAGATACCACCCAAGCCCACTGTGACAGAGCATCCCGGCCTTCAGTGTGACGTCATGATGCACCATTGGGCACAGCTGCTGCGGCTCAGAGCCAGAGTCTCACATCCTGAAGGCCAGAGGCACCTAGTGTTCCTCCGTCTTTGAGGACAAGATGGATTGAAAAATGACACAACCCCCCAATATAGTCAATTGTGAGAATTTCAAGTTGAGAAAAATAAAGCAGACCCATTTATTCTCCCACACAAGCGATTCTCAGGCAATTCTTTTTCTCCAGATATCCAAAGATTCCACTTCCAGCAGCCACGGGTGCAAAGTCTGATAACAGTAATTTCACTAAGACCAACGACTTTTCATCTTTTCATCTTAAAGAATGGCCAACTCTCGCGGTCTGGTCGTGCAGCTATGCGTTGCTGGGGCTCCATCAGGACGGAAACGGTGTTTCTCACCACAAGCTTTGATTATCAGCAAGTGGAATGGACATGTTATCTGAATAAAGATTTTTGACCAAAATTCAGAAAATGATCTGAGAGAAACATAAACTCCAGCTAGTTTATAGATGTTTAGATGCCAAGCTAGTTCAGCCTCTTAGAGAGTGCTGGCGGGCTGGCGATGTTTACTTTTAATTCCTTGTGAAAATGAGGCAATAATCTGCAAGGTTCCTGTATATATGTATAAATTCTTCCTGTCTTTTTAGATCTGATTCCGTATTTTTTTGACTGCGTCTGCCATGTATAATAGCATTTTTGTGCATGCTTGATGTGACATACATGATACCACTTTGTCCATGTAAAATAGCTATTTATTGAATTTTCTTTTAAAAGCTGGATTGACTGTTTCCCCCCTCTCCATTGAAGCATCTTACACAGAATTTGTTACTGTTTATTAGAAGAATTGCGTTTGAGAGCGTTAAGATAACGATTTGCAATCATATGAAGAGATAACAATGCCTTTATTATCAAGTGTTAAGCACAATTCTTATAACAAACTGTGATAAATTCTTTCCCCCTCCTCACCCCCCCTTGGCTGCATTATTTTCATACGAACAAACCAAAAATCCATGGTGAGCGATTGCAGTGGGCTGATGTGTCTTTCTGTGGAGACTTGGGGATAGCGGTGGGTGCGATGGTGCTGTGACTAGAGCAATACTTCCTGCAGCCGCGCTCGGTGCCGGCTCTCCTCGGTCAGCTGCTGACTTTACTTGAAGGATGTAGAATAATTTTTAAACGATACTAAAGTGTGTACAATTAGGTCAAAGCATTGTGCAATTGTTTCCTATTAATTTGTACGACTGAGGGCCCTGAGTGTTTGAGGACGTCGGCTCTCACAGAGCAGAGTGATTTTAACTATTGAATTTAACCAAAGTCTCCAGTGACTCAACTCTGAATGTAAACTAATGGAGGAACCCCGGCCACCACGGAGATTGTTTGCCCAGTTTCAAAGCACATTGTCTACAAATGGAAACTGAAATAATTTATAAGAATATTGACATTACTATGTTTTTTAAAAAGTTCTTAATTTTTCACTAAAAGGAGGAAGCTATTAGTTTTATTATTAAATACGGTAGATATTAAAATTCCTCTTAGAAAACCAGTGATCCAATGGTCCCAGTTTGAGCTAAGTACCCTTGAGTATGAAATGAATTAGTGACAATCAGAACAAGTCTTAGTAACAGATATTCAAGAGGAAGTTGCTATTGTTGCATTGATTTTAATATTTGTACATAAACACTGATTTTTTTGAGCATTATTTTGTATCTGTTGTACTTTAATACCTGTACAGTTCCAGAAATAAAAATCTGGGAATCTTAAAAAAAAAAAAAAAAAAAAAAAAAAAAAAGAATGGCCAACTCTGTCTCCTCAGTTTCCTGTCGCCCAAACTGATTTCCCAAGACTCCAGAGGCCTCCCCAACCATGTGCTTCCCATCCCAGCCTGTCACTCTCCTGTGTAAGGAGGACCCCAAATCTCTCCTGCAGCGGCCCCAATCACTTCCATGGTGAACAGGCCCTTGTTGAGGGCTTGCTATATGCCAGGCGGCTTTTCAGGTGCAAGAATAGCCCTAGCCGGTTTGGCTCAGTGAATAGAGTGTCAACCTGCGGACTGAAGGGTTCCAGGTTTGATTCTGACCAAGGACACATGCCTGGGTTACAAGCTTGATCCCCAGTAGTGTGTGTGTGCAGGAGGCAGCCGATCCATGATTCTGTCTCATCATGGATGTTTCTCTCTCTCTCCCTCTCCCGTCCTCTCTGAAATCAATAAAGAAATATATATTTTTTTAAAAAGAATAATTGCAGGTGGGACATAATAAGCCCAATCATGTTTAATGGACTTTGAAAATTATTTTACCAGTGTGTTATTTTACTTGCAACATTTTAAGTGACCTTCAAGCTTGCACCTCATTTTGCAACATTTTAAGTGACCTTCAAGCTTGCACCTCATTGCAAAGGGCCCAGCAAGCCAGCCCTGGTCTATTGCTGACTCCCAGGGTCCTCTCTAGGACTCCATGGAATATAAATGCTCTCCTCTTTTTCTATATTGAGAGTTCTGTTCTCCAACAGAGATCTGAAACCTAAATAGGTTTCCTCCTATTTTCATGTATTTATGTAGCAAACATTTATTGAGGAGCCAGTGAGTTACTTAGCTAAGGATTAGAGAGAATGAAAATGGAATCAGGTGGAGGTATTTTTGTCATTAACGAGGAAACACATATTATATATTACCCGTCACAAGAAAATCATAGATAAAATATAAAGTGAGTTCAGTGAGAGAGGCTAATTTGACCTGAGAATATTAAGGTGAGCCTGAAAAGGAAGATAGCATAGGAACTGCGTTTAATTGACTGACAGAATTTGAAAATTTAGGAATGAAGGTGGTATTAAAGGGAAAATCGAGGAGAGGTTATGGTATCAAAATAGCCAGAATCTAAGAAAAATGGCATCCATTTTTAATTATTATTAACCAAAGAACTTATATGTACCTAGGCCTTGCCCATGGACACAGGCAATAGGTTGGTGAAGGCCTTGGGTGAGGCAGGACTTGGTGGAGGGGGTAAACAGGGAGATAACTGTGATCCTCTCAACAGTAAGGATAAAAATTTAGGCCCCAGAACTGAACCTCTGCAGGGCAAAGGAAGACGGGATCAGTACTAGAACATATGTGCACACACAGCGCTGGGTTTCAGGGAATTTGCCATCTGTGCAGTGGATAAGACAAGTACCAAAACAATTCTAGAACCTTATTCTAAAGCAGAAAAGAGCAATAGGACATTTAAGTTCTACATTAGACACCAACCCATTATTGTTTGTGGTTGTTGATCTTTCTTTATTTTGAGGTTGACCTTGGTTAATGAGATGATATGGGTTTCAAGTGTACATTTCCATGACACATAATCATATATTGCATTGTGTGTCCACCCTTCAAAATCAGATTATCTCCCATTACCATATATTCAGCCCTCTTTACATGTGGCTGGTACCTCATACTCACTTTGACCTTGATTGTTTTATATTATTGTGTGTATGCTTTTTGGCCTCTCTGCGTCTCGATGCTTCATCGTATATAAAAATTTCTTTATAGTAATTTAAGGTCTCATTCATCTCTATTTTCTTATTCTAAAAGAAAGTAAGAATTTATCTTTTTTTTTTTAATATATTTTATTGATTTTGTACAGAGAGGAAGGGAGAGAGATAGAGAGTTAGAAACATCGATGAGAGAGAGTCATCGACCAGCTGCCTCTTGCACACCCCCTACTGGGGATATGCCCGCAACCAAGGTACATGCCCTTGACCGGAATCGAACCCGGGACCCTTCAGTCCCCAAGCCGACGCTCTATCCATTGAGCCAAACCGTCCTCGGCGAATTTATCTTTTTTTTTAAATATATTTTATTGTTTTTTTGGTGTTTTTTTTTCAGAGGAAGGGAGAGGAATAAAGAGTTAGAAACATCGATGAGAGCCGAAACCGGTTTGGCTCAGTGGTGGAGCGTCGGTCTGCGGACTGAAAGGTCCCAGGTTCGATTCCGGTCAAGGGCATGTACGTTGGTTGCGGGCACATCCCCGGTAGGGGGTGTGCGAGAGGCAGCTGGTTGATGTTTCTCTCTCCTCATCGACGTTTCTAGCTCTCTTATCCCTCTCCCTTCCTCTCTGTAAAAAATCAATAAAATATATTAAAAAACAAAAAGAAAGTGCATACTGTTACCAGTAGCATAGACCATGCATCGCACGTGGGGAGAAATAGGGCAGCGGGGACTAGGCCAGTTGAGGGGAACAGAGAGAGAGAGACTTTTCACACTATATATCTTTCTATATTGTTGCTTTTTAAACTGGTAGACTTATTTGTCACCAGATTGTGCATTGGCTGTGTTCCTTTACTTTTTTGATTCTGTGTTTTGATACTGTGTTGGGGGGGGGGGGGGAACATGCATACAGTGTATCCCCAAAAAATGTAACACTGTAATAGTGTTACACTGTAACAGCTGATGCTCAATTTTTAAAATGAAGTGTATTATAATAAACACTGCCTTTATAATTATTCAAAGTGTGTGTACATTTTGGAGGGCCTATATTACCTATTCTAAAAATTAATTTTTTTAAAAAGTCTGCCTTTAAACATTGCAACTTTATTTCAGGACTGACAGTGAGGGATTAATTGGATTATTTCAAGATGAGCTTTCTGTTGCCCAAGCTGACTAGCAAAAAAGAAGTGGACCAAGCGATAAAGAGCACTGCAGAGAAGGTGTTGGTTCTCAGGTTTGGGAGAGACGAGGATCCTGTCTGCCTGCAACTAGATGATATTGTAAGTAAATATTTAAAATATTTTTTTTTTCTAATCTATACATTCTTACTTCAATATCTGCAAAGTACATGTGGGAACGTAGGCAGGGTCTGGGATATAGCTGTTCAGTTGTGAGTATGCTTTCACTAAGAGCTGAAGCCCTAAACCTGTGATGGTGCCGGATCTGTGCCGATGTTCTTCCCCACGAGCAGCTGTCCAAGCTCCTCTTCACCAAAGAGACAGTGAAAGAGCAGAAATATTATGAACAAGCTTCTGTGAACATTATCTCACAACATTGGTTTCTTTACGACTACTGTTCCCAAGGGGAGACATGAATGCCGGAGAGGCCAGGTGACTTCCCACAGCCACAGAACCACTAAGTTGCAGAGCTGGGATTGGAACTTTGTTTTCTCTCCTGCAAACCTGCTTTACTAGTGTGCTGCTCCCGTGTGCGCCCGATGATGACCTCTGACTTCACAACCTGTCTTCACACTCTGGTGAATAGCAAGGGCAGTTTGGGGCCCAGTAGGTTTATGTTTGTGTCTGTTTATTATGGAGAGAGACTTCCTCCAGAACTAACACCTCCTTCTATTGCTGATGTCACTGTTAAGTCACTGTTATGTTTATTATGGAGAGAGACCTACCCCACTATTTCTATTGCTGACATCACTATATGGATGGAGTGTAAAATCCTCATTATCATGATTAAATATGAGTATGTGATGTGTTACTCTGTGGGGTAAGGACCAGAGGGTTATACCTCAGCTGTAGGAGGAAGGTCTACCGCTAGAGGTCAAGAGCACAGACTCTGAAGCCAAGCTGCCTCAGTTCAAATCCATACCTGACTGCCTCCTAGCTGTGTGTCCAGGGGCAAATTACCTCCCTCTGCCTCGGTTTCCTCACCTATGAAATGGGGACTGTTACAGTGCATACCTCATAGGAATGTTATAGGATTAAATGAGTTAAAAGTGGAAAGCAGTTAGGATAGCACATAATAGTGCCATGTAAGTGTTTGCTTTTAAAATAGATAGATAGATATAGATATAGATAGGTAGATAGATATAGATATAACAATCATTTATGTGGAGATTGTAAGGAAAAATGTTTGGGGTAATTTCGATGTCTGTAGTACATATTTATGAATTGCTCTGTTTTTGCTTTAAGTAAGCATGGATTTTATAAATCCATAAAAAGTTCATAAAAACTTTACAACCAAAAGTAGAACAAAAATGAAGGAATATATTCATATAATCTATCCAGGGCCCTCTGATAACTGCCAACAGTGACTCAGACTGAATGATGAAGTTACACTGTGCCCAATGTGGAACTCAAACAGGCTAGATTCTTGGTCTGGGAGTTTTTTCAAACAGAATATTCTACTGAAACTTGTAGAAGAAGCATTGGTTTCATGTTGCAACCTGCATCTCTCTCCTCATTTGCAGCTTTCTAAGACCTCTTCTGACTTGAGTAAAATGGCTGCTATATACCTGGTGGATGTGGACCAAACTCCCGTTTACACACACTATTTTGACATCAGTTATATTCCATCTACTGTGTTTTTCTTCAATGGGCAGCATATGAAAGTGGATTATGGGTAAGTTAAGCTGACATGAAGCTGTAACGTCTAAAAGTTTCCTTTTTAGCAATTTCAGTATCTTACCTATTTGCATGCAGTGGTGGCTAGGTGAGCCTCTTACTGATACTGTCTCTTCAACAGATACTCTCTCTAATGTTTTTATGTGCAACGTGGTGCAAAATGAGTATTCTGGCATGATTGACAAATTTTAGTTTCTATTTAAGTATGAAAGAAGAGTACAGGCTGTGAAGCGCTAATCATCCTTCAGCCTAGAAAATATTGAACCATTTTCTTACAAATTCCCCAGGGATTTCACTTAAAACAGAATATGTCATTTTAAACTCTTGGGAGAGAGTTTGCATTTATAAAAGTACTCCTTTCAGCAAACTAAGACATGCTCCTCCTCTCTTGCTAAGTTTCCTGTCTTCTGCTAGGAAATAAGTTATTCTTTTGTTGAAGTTATTCTTCAACAAAGCCTGTCAAGTATAAGTAACATGAAGTCTTCTGTAATGCCTTCCACTCAGCCCAATCAGCATTCCAGTATTCAATACTTATTTTGAAAATACCCCTAATTTTTACTTTTTCTTAATGTGGTTGAGATATCCTCTTGTCTAGACCTGTGTACCTACTTTGTCATTATCAGTTTGAAAGTGTGTAAAATATTATGTGTTTTAAGTGTTCTAAAGGTATTTATGGTTCATTGAAATATTAGTTTGCTGTAATCTTTTCAGAAGATGATTCATGACATTACATACCAAACACCTTACAAGCATGTGAAAATTTTAATCCAGCAATTGCATTTCCAGAAATTTATTTGAAGGAAAGTAATTCTGAACGTGGGAAAAGTTGGCTCCATGGATACTTATTTCATCATTGTTTAGGAAGCAAAATATTTAGAACTTAGATATCCACAAAGGTCTACTAGATGCCAATTTACTCTGATGTTGTAGATCATGGTTAACTTTGAAAGAAACATGTTAGTTTTTAAGAATCACATTACAAAATAGAATGTGTGATATAATTCCCATTACTGTGAGGGGGGGAAAAAAGCACATAGAGACACAATATGATTGGAGGGATATATACCAAAATGTGGCAACCTTTTTTGTCTTAAAAAATTTCTGCAATGAACATACTTGATGTTCAAAATAGTGAAAAAGAAAAAAGGAAGAAGGGAAGAAAAATATTAACGCCACTAAGAAATAGAAGTGACTGGAACTTGGAGATCATGACTAAGGCTTTGCACAGTGCCTAGTCAAACACAACAGTGAAACAAACTATGCCCACATCAATACTCAGGGAATTCTACTTGAGAATGAGTTGAGAAATGACTAAAATACATTTTGAGCAGAAGCTTTTCATATGATAGAGCTTATGTGCCCACAACGCTGATTTTAGTCGTATATCAAATGGGCCCTGTAATTGCAAGTGAAAAAGTCATTGTTGGGCCTTACGTCTAAAGTCTGCCTTACAAAAAGAGCTACTGTTCGTTTTGTTCCTCCTGAAGGCAAGTAAATATTCAACGTTCTGAGCAAGTAAATATTCAGCAAGTAAATATTCAACGTTCTGAGCAAGGTTGTTTCTCTTCTATGCTATCTAGGTCTCCAGATCACACTAAATTTGTGGGAAGTTTCAAAACCAAACAAGACTTCATAGATTTGATTGAAGTAATTTATCGAGGAGCAATGAGGGGAAAACTTATTGTCCAAAGTCCAATTGATCCCAAGAATATTCCCAAATATGACCTTCTCTATCAAGACATTTAGCACATTAACTACAGTCAAAGCTGGAGAGAAAGGCCATCTCGAACCGGTACCCGAAGGCAGCTGTGCCGTTTTCTGGAGTCCTTTGGAAAGGTGCTCAGCGTCCCAGCGGAGAGAGGTTGGACTTGTATGAGCAATACTGGCCGGAGTGGAAGACCCCGCGGGGACTGTGACAACCTGGGAAGCTTAAGTGTTTATTCCTCTCAGACCTCAGAGCAGTCAACTGTGATCCATTTCCTTTGCATGATTTGTTTGACTTTTCTTTATACTGTGCTTTTCTTTATCTCTTAACATAATACAGAATTTTCCTAAACATTGGCTACTACAATTTGATTTAACTATATTTATTTGGCACACAAGTAAAATGAGAGAATACGAGGTAAGGACTCAACTATGAGGTAAAGAGCAAAAATACTTATTTTCTACTCTATATGTACATATATCTTTCTCACCCTCAACCTTGCCCGTTCCCCGACTCACATATTTCTATTACTCGTGCTCTCTGATCTCCAGTCCTAATTGTCCCAGTTTCTCTTGGAATGAATAATTCTCCACTGTTAGCAGACAAATTTCTTTTATTTTGGAGCCTTCCTGGTTCACACTTTGAAAACAGTGGCCTGGTTTGCAAATTTACTAGCTTTGCAAATTTACTAGCTTTGTGCTATTAAATTGCCCAGGAAGTGAGACTTGAACCTTTACTATCTAGTACCCAATCTGAGCTAAAGAATTAACTACCTTTAATAAGAAGAAACAGAGCTCTCCCAGAAGTCAGAGTTCAACCTCTTCCTGAGACAGAACTGCTTCAAGGGCTCATGCCTAGAAAGAGAGAGAGAATCAGAATTTTTAGAAAGTGTAAGGACTGCTTTTTCCATTTGGAAGAAACCTACCATCCACAGGAGTCAATGCATTGTTGTGGTATTTAGCTGGTTAATACTCACAAAGGAAGAGAGCCAAAGGGAAGCCAGACATCAGAAGCATGGTCATCTGGAAGCTACAGCTTCACGCTCGCTCCCCGGGAACCACCAGCCCATTCCCTGCAGATACAGGGGGAAAGGATCAAACGAAGGGGGAGATGGGCGCCTGTGCAGTGACGTAGGGGAGGTGCTTATCAGTCAGTCTGCCTGGGAACAATGGATTGGCTAGGCCGGTGGAACCACCACAAGTGCTCGAAATCTGGGAAGGTTAAAATGCCCTCAGAGTTCCTTCCCGCTTGCTTGCTCTCTTGCTCCATGACCCACGCTTGCCCGTGCCTTCGCCTGTTCTCTCTCCGTTGCCATGTGGCCTTCAGCAGCTGTGTGGCCCCTGGCTATGCAGACTTTGCACAAAGGGGACCACAGCCAGGAGCACAAGCTAAGCAAGCCAGGTGCTGATCTGGACTTTCCTAAGGAGCAGAAACTGTGGTCAGTGGCCTTAATTCTGTCCCCAATGAAGGCAAGATCGGACTTCTTCCATGGCGAGACTGACAGAGATGGGGCCTTGGAGGAGACCCCCTTAATTTTACATTATCAGCTTGCCACGAAACCTCATCCTCCAGAGGGCTCTCGGGAAATGTTTTTCTCGCAGCACCCTGAGAACTCCTCTTCCACCGATAACAAGCGCAAGCCACCTGAGCTTCCAGTTTCACAAAGAAATGCTCTGCAGGGCCTCCCAGAAGAAACATTCCAGAACCCTTTCAGACAGGAAGCTCTTTCTCTAACTGAACTCTTTTCTGCTATAAACCTGGAGTACATCGCCCACCCGCCATGGCTCTGTGGTTGAATGCCGACTAGGAGGTCACAGTTTGATTCCTGGTCAGGACAAATAAATAACCAGGTTTTGAGCCTGATCCCCAGTGCAGGCGGGCATGCAGGAAGCAGCCAATAAATGATTCATCATTGATTTTCTGTCTCTCCCTTCCTCTCTGAAATCAATAAAAATATATTTATAAAAAATTTAAAAAAAGGATACAGCAACGAGCTCAGGATTTGTATTCAGACACACCTAGATTCAAGATCCAGCCTCACTACTTAATAGCTGCATAACCTTAAACAAATCGCTTAACTCCTCAGAGTCTCTGCTCCTTGTCTGTAAAACAAGGGTAACGATGACCTTTCTGAGAGCCGCCTCGGCAGGCTCTCAGTCAGTGAGTGTGACCCGGCCGTGGGACAGTTGGTACCTCCATAGGGCTGTCCCGTCAGCCTGCGGTGTTTTCTGACACACTCCCCGTACGCGCTGTGCCACTTGGCGGCTGCTGTACCATAAAGGAGAGGATAAACGGGTCTAAGCACACACACCCCCAAAAAAAACAAAAAAACAAAAAAAACAGAAATGAGTGAAAAGAAAGCTCTTTATTGTTTGACTTAGACACGCAGGGCTGGAGCCCACCGGTTTCACACCAACGTTTGCCCCTCCACCCCCCTCCAGTTTTCCCCTCTCCCGGAGTGAGATCTAGCACGCACTAGTTGTCGGCCATGGTTTTCCGAACCCAGTCCAGGATGGAGAGCACCCTCACGTACACGCCGTACTCGGCCACGCTACAGCTCTTGTCAAAGCTCAGGATCCCCGCCGCATACCACGTGTCGTCATCCGTGTCGTGGACAGCGAAGGCGCTGCCCGCGTCCCCAAAGCACGTGTCTTCCTCGTACTTGGTCAGGCCGGCGCAGAAGGTGTGCTCGTTCAGGATGGGCTGCACGCCCACGGGGCTCCTGGGCTTCTTCTTCTCCGGCACCGTGCTGTTCTCGTAGTGCCGCACACAGCTGTCCTGGTCGGCCACGGGCAGCATGACGTACTTGAGGAGCTGTGTGAAGCTGAAGTTGGAATTCCGCCCCCAGCCAGACACATAGCCCATACGATTCACTTGCGCGTAATCTTTGGAAGGTAGGCAGATGGGCATTACTTTCTCGTTAACGGGCACCTTCTGCTTGAGCTTGATGAGCCCGATGTCGACCTCGAGGTAGTTAGGGTGGAGAATCACCGTCTCAACCTCCACACGCTGCTGCTTCCCCACGTAGAGTTTTAAAGTAGGGGCGATATCTTTTGCTTTAGCGTCTTCCGTATGCCCCAGGAAGAGGTTCTTAGCCGTGGTCAGCAGCCATTGTTCACCGATGAGTGTGGCCCCCGAGGTGAGGTTATGATGCGAAATCATCTTAGCCTGCCAGGGAAAGCTGTCCTTGGCATCCACCGAGCCACCCAGGATCCGCTGGACCTGATCCACTGGGTTCTTGGGCTTTCCGCACACTGTCCAGGAGAGCAAGGAAGTCAGGACGAGAAATGCGAGACTCTCCCTCCCCAGCCGGGAGGGGGCCTAAAAGCTTCGGCTATGGCTGCTGTCTAAACGATCCCTGTCCACCTTTTCCAAGCCAGGAATGTTTACATGCTTTGCTTTACCACCTGCCCTCTTGTTTCCAGCGTTTGCCGTCAGTTATTTCTGTAACTAAGGCAGACTTCCATTTCCTGCCTTCCTAACTCACCAAAGAAACAACGCCAAGATTGAGAAACCCGGCTGATGAGCTGTAGGTATATTCAACAGTTTGTCACAACAAGGACATGTCCACAATTCCTTGAAACCCGTTATAACTCATTCTCTCCGAATAAAGAGGGGTCTAATGTAGCAATGGCCACAACTCAGGTTTTACAGATACTGCAGTTAATGCCAGGCAGGTCAGCAGTTCCACGCCACTAATAGCAGGAGAGGGTAGGCAAAGCCCTCCTGTTGCAAGAGGGAAAAAGAAAGAGCAGTAGCTCTTCCTAATAACAGAAACAGAAGCCCTATCCATCCAGGCTTCTGTCATCCTCCCCTGGATTGGGGTGAGTTATGTCCTCCCTGAACGTGCTTCCCGGAGCTGGCTCTACCCTGGGACCCTCGCTCTCTGGGTGGGTTGTCTGTGCACATAGGGTCTCCAGACCCCCTGGGGGCCGTGGATTCCATCAGTGCCCTGCAGGCCTGAATAAGCAAGAACCTCAGTGAACTTTTTAAGGGAATCGTCACCTAACTGCTCAGTTCTCTGCCGGCCATTGGTGGTTCTCCCTGGCCCCAGGTCTTGCTCAGGAGAAGCCACACAGGAGGGGCATGTGCCTGTAGGACATTCCAACCAAAAACCCCTGCCCAACCACTGAACCCTCAACGCCTATCCTTGGTCTGCTTCCCAGGCCCTCGGCTTCCTACCTGCTTCGCATTCAGGAAGCTTCTCTCCAGTGGCCTTGTTTGTCCACTTCTTCTCGCTGTTTAAGGTGTACACTCCTGAAACAAAAGGAAAGAAGTGAGTCAAAAGAGAAACTCAGACTGGCTTGGGAGAGAAGGTATTTTAGAGAGAAAAACTAGAGAAGGAGAAAGAAGGTGAGAGACAGGCAGGGGAGAGGGGGAAGGGAGGAGCACTGTCCTGGAAGCCAAATGCTGGGCCCTCTCAAAGCCCAGCAGGACAGAACCGTGGTCATGGAGAGGCAGGGCAGGTGGGGTCAGGGTCCAGATCCTGCCCCTACCTCTTGCCGGCTACCTGACCTCTCTGTGCCTCAAGTTTCCCTATCAGCAAGTAATAATAATAGTATCTTCGTAGAGGGTGCTACAAAGACTAAGTGAGCAGATCAATGTAGAGCACAACAGTGCCAGGAAGGTGAGGACACCAGTGTCATCACTGTCACCATTGTTTGTTCTTTTGCCACATCCTTTTGCCAGATCTAGATGCAGCTCTCACTCTGAGGTGGGTAGGCTATGTGGCATCCCCTCCCCTTAACAAAAGACAAAACGTGAGGCTGAGCAAAGTTAATTTGCCCAAAAGGCCACAGCACTGGGAACTAACTAGAATCTACATCTCCCGGCGCCGAGGATAACACATGCATTCCCTAGCCAGTCACCCCTGACTCCATTCACCATGGAAATGCCGGGATGGGGATGGGGAGGGCACGGGGACGCTCGTGCAGGCCTTACCATCTCCCTCGGTGCGCAGTCTGTAGTAGATGCTCTTGCACTGGTAGCGAACCGAGTGCTCCACGTAACCATTCGCAATCTCGGGGGCCTTTGGGCAGCCGTCGTCTGCAAAGGGAAACGGGAAGAGGAGGTTAGTGTGTTCAGAAATCGCTCTCAGAGACCCATGAAACGTCAGACGAGAGGAAGCTGCTCTGTACGTCAACCTTCCGCCATCCCAAATGGAAGCCATGCCGTGGGCATTCTCTCCTTATCTCTGGCTGGCTCCCCAGGGTTTTTAACTAGTGAAAGACCAGCCATCAGGATGAGAAGAAGGTATCTGGGTCTCCTGAAGAAAGGGTGCAGATCCTACGAGGTCAGACACAGCAGTGCTGGGGTGTACACGCCCGCCCACACCCAAAGACCTACCTGCA